ATATGTTGTCTTGCTGTTTGACGAGATGAAGGTTCAAGCCAATTTAGTAATGGACAAAGTTACTGGCGAGCTCATTGGCTTTACTGATCTTGGTGATCCCAATGTAAATTTTGCTGTCCTAGAGAAGGCAGATGAAATTGCTTATCACATCTTGTTATTTCTAGTGCGTGGCATGTGCACTGAACTGAAGTTTGCTTTGGCACACTTCTCCACGCGTACGAGAGAGGTTACTGCTGCCCAAATAATTCCAATCTTCTGGGAAGCAGTATGCATCCTAGAGACAAACTGCAATCTGTGGGTCATAGGTGCAACCTCAGATGGAGCATCACAGAATAGGAAGCTTTATAGATTACATAAGCTTCTTGATGGTGGATCTGACAAGGATGTGTGCTATCGCACTATTAACCTATTTGCCTGTCATTGCTATTTGTATTTCTTTGCTGATGCTCCGCACTTAATCAAGACCACAAGAAACTGTCTGCTGCATTCTTGATCAAGCACATGCACAAGGTACATGTGGAACAATGGCATGTACCTTTTATGGCAACACATTGCTCAATTGTTCTACCAGGACATTGACAGTGGTCTTAAGCTCCTTCCCAAGCCAACCTACGAGCACATCAATCTCAACTCATACTCAGTTATGAGAGTCAACCTGGCAGCACAAGTCCTAAGTGCCTCAGTGTCTGCTGTCCTAAAGTCATTTGGTCCACCAGAATCACATGGTACTGCAAAACTGTGTGAGATGGTAGATAAGTTCTTTGATTGCCTGAATGTGAGGAGCTTGTCTGAACATCAACGGAAAAGGAAGCCATTTTTAGCCCTCTACTCTAGACGTGATGACGAAAGGTTTGTAAAATTTTAACAGTCAATTGAGTTATAGTGTAAAGCACAGATGAATGGTCAATCTGATATTGTTTTTTGTATTTAATCTGTTACATATTGTTTTCTTTTGTGTAATCAACATTATTTTGTACAAAGTAATAATAATAGTATCAATAATTCTCTCACAGATTAAATACACATACTCTATCATCAGTGTTATTGATAATTATTTTAACTATTGGCTAAGCTTGTGTATTATTCTATTGTAGATTCCAGTGGTTGTTGGACTTCTTAGCCTACCTGAAAAGCTGGAAAGAAAGTACTGATGCCAGGCCTGGAAACTTTACAAAGAATGCTCGAGCTAGGATATTCTTATCTCGGCAAACTTATGAAGGGTTCAAAATAACCATCTATTCTGCGAACGAAGCCACTAAATTTCTACTTAGCGAAAGTATGGAATATGTATTGACAGAACGTGTTTATCAAGATCCAGTTGAAAAGTATTTCGGTAATCAGCGGAAATTACATGTAGGACAACAGAATGACAACCCTGATGTATACTCTTTTGGCTACCATGACAACACCATTAGAATGCAAAGAACAATATCCTATCAAAGTGGGAATACAATAGGTAGAAAGGACAAGCGCAGAGCTTGGGTCAATGTGACCAATGATCCTCTACCTGCTAGAAAGAAACCAAAGAAATCTTGAAAAAAACTACTTGTTTTTTATTTGTGTAGATGCCACAGTGTTTTCATTTCTTGTTTGTACAAGTAGAAAAGCTATATTATTATAGCATTTTTTGAAAGACAACACCCACAAATATTATATATTGCTGGCATTCATAGTTTCATTTTTCTATGAATCATACTATTTTCACAATAAGATTGCTTATTTGCTCTTCAAAGCACATCAACTGTTGCATTTATTTAATGGTGGTGTTTATTTCAGATGACATCTAAGTGAGTAAATATGAAATACAGTGCTTGCTCTACACAAATACAGTTCATGGTAGACTATATTGTTGTACATAGACCTCAAGTTCAATGCTCTCTGAGCTTTTATTTAGTCAATTTATTTTTTTTTGCAGAACATGTTGTAAATAAATGATACAGAAAACAACAAATTAGCTTTAACAGTATGGTATGTTACATTCATTAAGTTCTTATATTAGACTTAATCCATACATAGACTCTGCTCAGTACATGGCTACCCAGGGCCTGGTAGTTCAAAGCCTGATTAGGGCTACTTCACGGTTAACTTAATGAATTGAATGTTGAAGTTGTAAAATTACAACTTGAATAAAGTTTAGTTGACGATGATTTGTAAATAAAGTATGATAAAAAACTTGCTAATCTTGTCTTTCATTATCTTGTTCTGCGTCATAACATTTTCTGCTTATATCCTTACGTAGAGCTTTAGTTTTCTTAGCTTTGACTTTATGCTGCTCAATGATACATGTAGCTTTAGCAAGTGAAAATGAACAGACACATACATAAAGGTTGATGATGCTATACAGTACACTAATATGGGGAACAGGTTCAAGCTCAGCTTCACAAACCATAATATTATAGTGTGACAATATAGTGCTGTCAGTGACTGACTTCAAAATAATACTAGGAATCTCAATTTGCTGTAAACCAACTACATGTGTAAATTCTCTAAAGATCATTTAAGTTTCGCAGAAAACCTTTTGTGCTGGTTGAGTAATAAACCAAAGTCCGCCACGAGTCACACTTGAAATCAGATTTTGTGAAGTGTTGATTTCAGACTTTTCAGCTTTCAAGATTGCCATAGCTTGAACACATGATGTCTCTGTCTGTAAACACAGTGTTGATCTCTTTGATTTCACTTCCCCTTGAAGATTTATTGCAGTATGCCAACAGACTGTCTGCCAACTTCATTGCCAATAATGTTGCTGCATTTCTTGACAGCCCTCTAAAGTAGTTCACAGAGTTTACTGCCACGGTTGAGTAGTACGTTCCATAAAATTTGTCTACACTACCATTCTTAGTGTAGCCTCCAAAGAGATTCTTTATGTTTTTATACTCTGCTCCATCTCCAATAGTACTCTCCCATGTGTAGGAGGCTAGTTCAAGCTGTAAAACTTCAGCATGAGCCTTATTATTCTTTAGATTCAAGACTACATTATTCACGATGTCAGTTAGGACGGCTGCACTAAAAGGAACTTGATGATTTGATCGTTCACTGTGCTTCGTGCCTTGGTGTCTTTCGTAGCCACCTTTAGTTTTGTACTTCTTTCTGCATTTCTTACATACAGTTTCTTGCTTTTGAACCTAAATAAAACGAAATTCATAAGATATACTTTCACATATACATTCTAAGAATGTTTGTACTTCATATAAACTGCACAGTGTTGCAGAACGTTCTCTATCCGTGCTTCTTCCTTCGACAAGAATCATCTTGATTAAAGTTTGTCATATTAAGCATTTCATCGTCGAAAAACAGGCCTAATCAAGCCATTTTCAGTACTTTGAAAAACTCCTCTTCAACTCCTTCTTTAGCTTCTAACATCTCTAAAATTGCCTCTAAATCATCCCCCGCTAAAAACTCACAGTTGTCCGCTATATTTGTTTGGAAGTGTGTGCGGGGTCGCGGTCACGTGACGGTCCTGTTCAACATCAAAATCTAAACAATGGGCCGTCCCTTTGATGTTCGCCGGCCTTCATAACCATTCTCCTCGATTAACTATGTATTGATAGAAGAATCAGCACAAATTATGGGTAATGATAATAGTGTGTTCACAAAGATGTAATTCCTCTAAAATATATCAATTTAAAAATAGGTTTAATTGTTATATTATCATTATATGTTGTTTATTTATTTAGATTATAAGACTTTGCTAACGTATTCCATATCCATGTTGGTACAACAACTGTAGAACAGTGATACTCCCCACCGACTCTATGAGGTTAAGATACAATTACATTCTGAGGCTAAATCATTAATTTTGTATGTACTAAACTTCAGGACCCATGTCAGATATGAGTGCTTGGGAAGTCCTCGGTGTTCCAAAAGAACTTCAAAGAGGACTCAGTGAGCAAAGTTTTACTACACCAACTCCTATTCAGACACTCTCCCTTCCACCTGCAATATTCCACCGCAGGGACATCATCGGTGTGGCAGAAACAGTGAGTTGAATCAAGACAGTAAAACTGGTGGAAGTCTCTATTGTTAAGCCCATTGTTTATTTACATACCTGTAGTTCAACAAGTTTTTTTGAGATTTTTTTTTTCTTTTCTTTGAGAGAGGAAAAAAACTATCTTCTCGAACATGTACTTACCATGATGTGCACCAAGCTCATTTAGGAGCAAGAAGAATTTCCCACACAATATAGCAAACAGTTTCTGTTAGGGCTGGCCTCTGACCCATAATTTTGATTCATTACAATACTAACATAAGTGAGTGTTGAGTCATTCTAAGTATGAGTTTTGTAAAGGCACGGTTTAAGAGTGCTGTTTACTTGCAAGAGTATGTGTACCTCTTGAGAGAGCTCTGACTGACTGACTGACTGACTGACTGAGGGTTAAATTTTGCACTCTTAGGAACTGATTTCAATTAATAGTTCTTCCTATATCATGTAGGTGTAATANAGTTTAGAGTTTAGCAATGGCAGGAATATGAGAAAGATGTCATGTAAGCATATTTAAACAACATATTTTTTGTATTTACTAGGGTTCAGGTAAAACCTTAGCCTTTGGGATTCCAATCCTCACTCACATCCTTGGCCACAATACCAGGCAAGAAGCTGGTGAAACTACAGAAAATACTGACAGAAATATTGGCACAGAAGCCACAGAAGCTGGTAATGGAACATCCAAGGTCAAGAAACCACTTCTGGCTTTAATCATGACACCAACCAGAGAACTGGCCATACAAATAAAAAATCATCTTAATCAGGCTGCAAAACACACATCTTTAGAGGTAACATTATTTTATTGACAATTTTGAAGTTGCCTACACTGAAAGATTATTTTTTCCCATTATAAGAAACTCCTTTAAATATTAATCTATTTTTATTGGCCCAGGTCATTAATTTTACCAACATAGCTAATCAATACCCTTTTTAAGTGTAGCAGATGGAAAAACTATCTCCTATTTTGGAGAGTGTTCTTATAAGTTATAAATTTGTAGCCTTAAGAGGCCTGGGCTATATGCAAAATGCCCAAGAGTCTGTTCCAAAAACATATTTATGGCCACAAACATAAATTTTATTGTTTTGTGTTACTATACTCTGAACTGAAAGATTTATTTTATCTACCCCTTCCCCAGCAAAGTGTATGAAAACCCTTTTCTTCAGAGGAGCACAATGTTACATTTTACAGCTCTACAGTGTAACTAGCCCCTATGATGTAACATTCAAACCACCCCCGCTCCTAATAAAATACATGCTGAGCAAAGTACTTCAAAATATATTCCTTACAGAAACAAACGAAACAATTATTGAGTTTTTATTTATTTTTTTTTTCTATTTTCTTGCAAGATTGTTTTTTTTTTTTTTTTTTTTTCTATTTTCTTGCAAGATTGTTGCAGTGGTTGGAGGAATGGCACCTCAAAAACAACAGAGGCTTTTACATAAATGTCCAGAAGTAATAGTTGCCACTCCGGGAAGACTGTGGGATTTGATATCCGAGGTAAGATCTTCATGTAAATAAATAAAATAAATAAATAAACAATCAGTTTATTTAACCCTTTGGTAGTGTTAAACACTAAATTACAAGGGAGACAATAAAATTCACTCAATTCTACACAGAACACAATACACTTGGCATAACAAGAAAAAAACAATTAAGCCCTATTGTAACTGTGTATGTGCAGCATAATAAATCGGAGATCTGAAACTGTCGACACATGAAGTTATACATGTATATGTCAACACCTACAGTTTGCACTCGTGTATGTACAATATGTACAGTAGGTGCAGTGTTGCTTCTAGTGAGATTGGTTCTCCTGTGCTGCTTTTAGCAAAAAGTTAGATTCCCAGATTCCCTCTTGCTATATCAAAATTTGTGATATACATGTACATGTAGTTCCTGAAAGTCAAACGGATGATTCTTGAGATACACCTACTGGGCATTATTTTAGGGTGAAGAACATGTCTGCCATTTGGAGCACTTAAGATATCTTGTGATTGATGAGGCAGACAGGATGGTGGAGCAAGGCCACTTCCAAGAATTATCCTCAATACTGGAACTCATTCATAGGAAGAGGTACCTGCTACATTTTATACATGTACAGTGGCAGATTCAGACCTTGAGCTAAGAGAGGGAGTGGGGGTGGGGGCT